TCATTTTCATTTCTAAAAGTTTGCATTAGATTAGTCAGAAAAAATAGATCCCTTGTCTAAAAAAATATATAAAGATTTACACATTCATATAATTAATCTTTATAAATAAAATGTATATAGAAGTTATCAAGTCTTTACTTCTTCAATCAATTCAGAAAACATCGAAATCTTATATTTAAATGATATCTTTTTTTAAAGATCTTTCTTTAAGATATCACTTCTAGATATCTTTAGAAGATATCTAGAAATTATCTAAAAAATATCTAAATATAATGCAAGATTTACTGAAATATTTTGTTTAGGAAATATAATATTTCGATAATTATATTTTTTACGTGTATTGTTTTAAGACGAGGAAAATAAGAAGAATATGAAATAAAATATGATGTTCCTCGATATTTATTTCTTACGTCTCATAGAGAGTTACATATTAAATTATATGCATACAAATTATGGAGATAACCACACGTTGCAGTGAGTCCTTATATATCGTGGGGATAAATAATTAGGTAGAAGAAAAAGAAACCAACTATATATTTTTAGTTTTATTTCAAGGCACATATTCACTCTACTCGTTTAATCACGATCGAGATATGTATATAATCGCATTAATTCTGCTGTCTGCCGCTTTTCATATTTCAGTAATCTTCAATTCACATTATTAACGCAGTGTGAAAATATTAAAATAAATAATTCCTATTTTTCCATTACAGCCGAATACATGTGAAATTTTTTTTTTGCATATATGTCGCTAAAATTAATTTTTTCGCATCACATATATCGGATAATATTGTAGATAATGTAGATTAATAAAATATATTAATTTATCGATATGTTCATTTGTTCCGACATCTTTCTATTTTCTTGGTATGCCATTAATATATTCTGTACAACGCCAATTTTTTAAAATTATTTGACTACGCCGCGTGGATCATTGGTGGATCCTATGTATTTATTATATTAGTTATTATATTAGTTAACTAAAATATATTTTATAATGATTAAAAAGTATAAAAAATTATTATAAATTACTAATTAGAAAGATCTAATATACCAATACTGTATTATTATTATTATGTATCCGCCTATAATATCAGAAATTATTTTATAATTTTCTTTTTAATCAAAATATCTAATGGTTTGGACGGAAAATTAAACGTGGATCACTGATATATGAGTTAATCTTTATAATCATTTACACAACATAATTTTCCGAGCAAAGTCCTGAGAATATTTAAGTCGTAGCACATTCTCTGAACTTTTTTTAAGATGTCCTTTGCAAAATTGTATTATTATTGTGTGGATAATAATTCAATATGGCTGCAATGAAAAAATAGATAAGTCTTAACTTGGACGTACTCGGAAAAGACGTGAATTAGAGCGCAGAAATTGACACACCAATTCAACTAATTGTAAATTAGTTATTATATCACACACCATAATTAATATCGCTTCTAATAGTTTTAGTTTAATATTATCGTACATCGTATATAATAATAAAATTCTAGATTTATATGCAAGGTGCCGCTTGAAATACCGCAACTCCAGGAAAATTTCTTCACTGTTATTATTTTATTTGTTCTAATTAATTCTTCTTGTCATTACGAAATTATCAAATTCAATCATTCAAATTAAAAATTCGAATGCAAATTAAAAATTACAAGCAATGATTTCTGCCAATGATTTATTTTATAATTTTAGGGATATAATTTTTTAGGGATTTAATTATAAATTTCCATCTTTCACCTTATTAAAATAATTTTTATTCCTGATTAAAATTAAGTTGTTAAAATAGTGATAAAGGTATTTGTTAGCACTAGGAGGAATATGATTTGTTTTACATTGTATTCGATAAGATAATTCGCTATTAACAAATGCTTTTTAAATCATATCTTTTAATTGCGAGTAGCTGATAAGATGCTCATTATTAACATTATTAACAAGATCATAAAGTTAATTACAAAAGTCGAAAATTTTAATCGTTAGAAAATTGCGTGCAGCTAAATTCTAGCTTTTATTTTGTTGATATTTATTTATGATATTTTATAATGATAAATTTCTAAAATCACTTCTTGTCCTGCCTTATTTTCAACATTTTAAGTGGAGTCTTACATATGTTAAATAATCTTTCTTCTTTGATTTGAAATATTCGTAACTGAGAGGCATTTCTTGAGACACCCCACATATATTAATGTCGAAATCTAACATACTTCTATGATTTATCTATATTATGATTCCATACAATAAAATATCGCGATATTATTAATAACGGTAATAATAATTTCTAATCGTCCAGAAAGAAAGAGAAAGAGAAGGAAAAGGAGAGACATATCCTTATAAGGAGAATAAAATAAAAATTGCAGTTGCGCATCCTATTTTATATATACAGAGTTATTAATGCTTTTATGTATAAATCTATCAACATATTGAAACATATGTATATGTATATATATATATATATA